CCAAAATGTTTGACCCAAGTCATACAGTTTAAAGGCAATGCTACCCAATACTAAGGAACTAGGAAGAAAGCCTTAAAGCTTTACAAAGTGTTGTCTTTTGCCAACACCGGTGTATTTTATTGGGACAGACCGTGTCTTGATCTTTTTTGTCATCGTAACAGAAAACCAAAAATACGGAAGCAGAGAGCGGTCGTTTTCTGCTACTGTTCTTTCTTTGCCGTTTTCTGTGTCAGACCTCGAGAGAAGTAAAGTCTGATGCGTTCATCAATGACAGATGATCCTCGATCTGGCATTTTCAGTCCATTCTCGGCAAAGTCACTGCTGCACTCCAGAGCGTCACTCGTTTCTTTGTAAACACAGGCATCAGTGTCCAGGGATAATTATTCCGTTATCTGGAGAAAACGTCGTTCGTTTTCTCCAGATAACGGAATAATTATCTCGTTATCTCGAGAAAATGCCGTTTAAAAAAATGTGCGGCCATGACCGCTATCGGCTTCCATACAAAAATCCTTAATCAGTGAAATTTTAAAGAAATATGACTGTTCACAGAAACAAATAGTGTATCTACAAGCTATTCCCTACAACCTAAATACTTACTACACTTATCTGTCCCCATGTTTATCAGCTGCTGAAGGCTCTAACCCCAGAGGAAAGCACCCAATGCCAGCATGGCCTCTTCTTCCAGGACGGTCAGCGGCGGGTTGACTATGTCCTCACCTACCCTGTCAAGAAACCAGGAGGGAGCCGCTCCAGTCGGCAGTCGGTGCAACTACTTGCTGAAAATGCAGTCGCCTGCAGTCTACGCTGCGGCCCTCACAGCTGTGGTGAAGATCTGCGACATCACCAAGCACAAAGGACAGGAAACCCATCCTGCCTGCAGTCATCGACGATGGCAGACGTGGAGGGAGAAACCTTTAACGGCCATGACGATCAAAAGGCATTCAGGAGGGAAGAGTTTGAGGGGAAACTGCGAGACATGGGCCTGGAGTTGGAGAAAGATGAGATTGTAAGTTTCGTTTTTTATCTAATTTTTTTTTTCTGAAGCACTCTCAACTCTACAAAACAATAATATCTCAAACTGTTTACAAAGATAAAGCAATATGTCACTAAAGTTGATGTACTAAAGTAAAAAAAAAAACAGAATGTACCCACAGTAACTACCCACCAAGATTACACCCAAAAGGATAAACAAAGCTGCATTGCCCTCCATGGGAATAAATACATACAGTATGGCACATTTCTGCAAATATTTAATGATATCTTTTCATGGGACAAATGAAGAAATGACACTTTGCTACAATGTAAAGCAGTCAGTGTACAGTTTGGTTTCTTGACAGTAAATTTACTCAAAGTAACTCAATACACAGCCATTCATGTCTAAACCGCTGGCAACAAAAGTGAATACACCCCTAAGTGAAAATGTTCAAATTGGGCCCAGGTTCTAATCTGACCCAAAAATCTCTTTTGTGACATACTGTAGATCTCCGGGAAATAGTTGACAAAGAGGCCACTGTCTGCTGTAATCTACGTTCCACAGGTTGTGGAGGAAAAACGTTATAGAGTTACTTTTTAACCCTGGAATGATGAGAAGCCAAAGTAAATTCACAGACTGGCAACATAAAGTGTTAAAGAGTTTTTGGATATGAAGTATAGCAACAGCTGAAGTAGCACTGTTGGATAAAATGTATGATTAAGCTTAAGAAAGGACAATGAAGTAATTAAGGAGAAAAATTGAGCTTAAATCAGAAGAAGAAGAGAAGATGAGTGAACAGAGATGTTACATTATGGGTATGACAGTGCTTGCAGTCCTGTTTGCATCTGCATTTGTCAGCTCACAACTGTGAAGGACATCTGTGTTAGATTGTGCTACACTTTGCATTAGGGATGTGTCTTTTCTTGTTTCCCTCTTTCAGACTGGTTATGATGAACTAAACTAACAATGCTGCAGAGCAATCCAAAACAAGTGTCGCTAGAAATGCAAAACTATTGGCGTTGTACCTCTATGAAAACCAATTCACCAAAAAAAAAAGTAAATATACACTACCGGTCAAAAGTTTTAGAACACCCTAATTTTTCCAGTTTTTTATTGCAATTCAAGTTGTGCTAGTCCAATGAATAGCTAGAAATGGTACAAAGGTAAGTACTG